TGTTAGCGAGAGACTTTGGATTGAAACCTCAGGGCAAATCAGCTCCCATGGCTTCTCAATCGAACTCTTCTGCCTCTGATTTCAACAGTTTCGCTTCTTCTTATAACTTCGCCACCGGTAAAAAGTCCGATTCTTCGCCGGTGTTTGACGATCTTGGGCGCGATGGTGATGATCTTCTCTTCAAAGATGTGTTTAGTGCTCCTCCACCAAAGTACGGATCCTCTTCTGGTGATTCTCGTTCTCCATCTGCTCCGGCCTTTGACTATGATGCTATGTTTAAAGAACCCAAATCCAAATCAGCCTCCATGCCTGTCTTTGACAAGCCGGTGTATGATGATGAGGATGTGTTTGAGTCTATTCCTGAGCTCAAAATCCCTTCCACTTCTTCTCAATCAGCTAGGTTTGAGAATGTTTTCTCTTCCATGAGCTCACCTGCAAAGCACAGGAAACAGGACAGTTCTCCCTTTGATGATCTCATGGGCAACAATACGGGGAAAAGAGAGACTGGGAGTGACAGAGAGAGCAAGGGTAGCTCTGTTTTTGATGATTTGATTCCTGGCTTTGGTCGCACTAGCTCCCCTCCACCTAAACGGTAATATTCACTCGACGCTCTTCTTCTTCATCTGTGGTTACTAGTTAGGGTCACTGGTCTTCAAATTTGGGAACTTGCTTGTGTAAAATGACTCGATGGTATAGACTTTGGAGCATGAGATGTAGCATGAACTATATTGGTTCTTAATGGAGACCTGTTCTCTTATACGTGTACTCTCTGAAACTTAAAAGAAATCTCTTGTATGTAGAGCTGTTTGATTCCCGGGGTTGGTCCCCTATGAAGCAGTCATAGTTACTCTTCTTGGTTGCCTGAAATGACGTAGAGCCATCATACTTTCACAATGGTAGTGCAATGTAGTATAAACTGTATTAGTTATTGCTTGCATACAAGGTTCTTCTCTTATGCCTACTCTCTGAAACTCTCAAAAACTCTCCAAAAGCTTCAGTTATTGCTTGCATAAAAAGGTTCTTATATGTGTACTTTCTGAACTTGGAGAGAAATCTCAGAAAGCTTCAACCTTGTACTTTTCATTCATATGCATACTTTCATTTTGATCTGTGCCTAGGGTCACTGCTCTTCAAATTTGTTTCTCCTAGAGCTGACTTGAGAGCTTGTTTCAGGACACATAGCTTAGAGCCATCAGACTTACATAAATGTAGCATGAACTACCTATATATTAGTACCTATTGGGGTAGCTGTTAGCTTGCATAAAAGGTTCTCTTATGAGTACTCTCTAAAACTTGCTGAGAAATCTCCAAAAACTTGAACCTTTGGCTTGTCATCCATATGCAAATAATTATCTTGATCTGTGTGTCTTTTGGAGAGCTGTTTTATTGCCTCTCTTATGTGTACTCTGTAAAACTTACTGCAAAAATCTGCTAATGCTTGAACGTTTTGTTTGTTATTCAAATGCAAAGTTTCATTTTGGCTTTCTTTTTTGGTATAGGCATAGCTTTCTATCATTTGAAAGATGCTTTACATTTTTTTGCACAGGTCTACTTCAGAGACCAGTCAATCCCAGAAACCGTACCAGCCTGCCAAGACATCTTCCAGTCTTGTGGAAGACGACCCATTTGTAGTTTTGGAGGAGTCTGCGTCAAGCCCTAGAGAACCTCCCATGGGAGGGTTCAATGATCCATTGGAGGATCTTGGAAAATATAATAGCTCCAGCAGCAGAAAAACTGATCATCCATCTGTCCATGGAGGAGTATTTGTTGATATTGACCCCCTCGATGGTCTTGGAAAATCAGGGCCAGATATGAATAGTAGAAATGAGAGTCATTTAAGACCGCCAGGAAACATCAGTGGCTCCCAGTCACCAGTTGAAAGTTCTAGGAGTTACCATTCCAAGAAAGTTTCATTTGATGATGTTCCAGAGCCGCAAAATACAAGTATTCCGCCACCTACCAATACAGAAGGAAGTTTTGAGTCATCGGATGATGTGTGGCTTACTGTATCTGAGATCCCCCTCTTTACACAACCTACGAGTGCTCCGCCACCTGCGAGACCTCCACCACCAAGACCTACACGTGCTGTAAGAAAGAAGGTTAACGAGCCTTCTTTATCGAGCCCCGCTAGAGCTTCTGTAAATAGCCCACCAGCATCTCAAATGGATGAACTCGATGATTTTTCTATTGGAAGAAATCAGACATCTGCTAATGGACACCCTGAACCTCCCTCTGGTGAAGATTCTGATGTTTTCTCTACTGCTGCTGCATCAGCTGCTGCCATGAAGGCTGCCATGGATAAAGCAGAAGCAAAGTTTAGGCATGCTAAGGAAAGGAGAGAGAAAGAAAATTTAAAGGCAAGCAGAAGTAGAGAAGGAGATCACACAGAGAATCATGATTCTCGAGAAAGGGAACTTAGAGAAAAGCAAGTGAGATTGGAGCGTGAAAGGGCAGAGATGGAAAAAGCCCAGGAGAAAGAGAGAGAGGAGAGAGAGAGAGAACAGAAAAGAATTGAGAGAGAAAGGGAAAGACTGCTGGCTAGACAGGCGGTAGAGAGGGCTACAAGGGAAGCACGCGAAAGAGCAGCCACTGAAGCTCATGCGAAAGTTCAAAGAGCTGCTGTTGGGAAGGCTACCGATGCTCGAGAGCGCGCCGAACGAGCAGCGGTTCAAAGAGCCCATGCTGAAGCACGTGAAAGGGCAGCTGCAGGGGCAAGAGAAAGGGCTGAGAAAGCTGCAGCAGAAGCTAAAGAAAGGGCGAATGCTGAAACGCGGGAAAAAGAAGCAAAGGCTAGGGCAGAACGAGCTGCTGTGGAAAGGGCAGCTGCTGAGGCACGTGGAAGGGCAGCTGCCCAAGCTAAAGCTAAGCAGCAGCAAGAGAACAATGATCTTGACTCCTTCTTTAATTCGGTTTCTAGACCAAGCAGTGTTCCACGACAGAGAACCAACCCTCTGGTGAGATGGGTTACCACTTCTGTTCTGCTTTAAGTCCTTTACAGCTGATTTTTCACCTTCTATAACTCTGGTTGTGTTACAGGATCCGTTCCAGGATTCGTGGAACAAAAGTGGATCATTTGAATCTAGCAGGGAATCTTCACGAGTGCCTTCTGGAGCAACTGAAAACTTAAGAAAGACCTCTTCCGCAACAAACATTGTTGATGACCTCAGTTCAATATTTGGAGGTAGAGAAATTTCTGAGCCTTATCCATAATATTCTTCCGCTACGCACTCTAGTTTCATGCCTTATTATTGGTCACCTACTGAAATCTCCTGTGTTGTATAGCTCCAGCTTCCCAGTCTGGTGGGTTTCAAGATGTTGATGGAGAAACTGAAGAGAGACGACGTGCCAGGCTGGAACGTCACCAGAGGACACAGGAGCGGGCTGTATGTATCATTACGGCTGTTAAATCGTGTTCTTAGATTGGCTTTGTATCTGACAGTGATTCAAGATTCACCAGTATGCTTTATAACATAATTTTTTTTCTCAATCAGGCAAAAGCACTTGCTGAGAAAAATGAACGTGATCTTCAACTACAAAGAGAACAAGCTGAGAAAGATGTAAGTTTCCTTTCCACAGTATTCAGTTCGAAATCTTTACATGTGATTCTTCCTTTTTCCTCTTCTGTTGTGCCCATCAATCATGTTGCTTAGTGGAGGTATTTAATATTTGAGACTCTTGTAGCCATTAGCGTAAAATAAATTTTGCCATCTTAGGAAATGTCTCAACTTTACCATCCGTCTTGTTTTTCTTGTCTTTTATTTAAATACCCTACTTAATCCTGGATTGTATTCAATTTTGTTTGTTAATCATTATGCTTATCCTGAATTTTAGAGGATTGGGGTGACCCTGGATGTTGAGATAAAACGTTGGGGTGCGGGGAAGGAAGGAAACTTGCGTGCTCTGCTTTCGACATTACAATATGTAAGTTTTCTTTATTATTTGCAACTCTGATAGTCATATGTACCTTTAATGTTGTGAGTCCACAAACTCTCTGACACAAACTCTCTGAAATTGTTATGTAAATGCTCAGGTTCTATGGCCAGAATGTGGTTGGCAGCCTGTTTCATTGACCGATTTAATTACGGCTGCATCTGTCAAGAAAGTTTACAGGAAAGCCACTCTCTGTATACACCCTGACAAAGTTCAACAAAAAGGTGCCAATCTCCAGCAAAAATACATTGCCGAGAAAGTTTTCGACATGCTCAAGGTAAGTGAATTCACCATCTCTCTGGAACTAAATCCAATTATCCATCGCTGCTACTTCAGATACCACCAACAAAACACCTTTCAGTTAACGAATTAGCATCTCATCATGTATAACTGTAACCCCACGATTTTACAAATCCACATTTCCTTGCATCATATTTTTTCTCATGGCAATATACAGGAAGCATGGAACAAGTTCAACTCAGAAGAACTCTTTTGAAAAAAAAAACATGGGGTTATGTTTCGAGATTGTTGTTCATGTCTTGCCCATAAGATGAAGCATGTGGCATTCACTATATAGCGAAAAATGGTGCCCAAGTTGAGGGCATATAGTTGTTGATAGAGTATGTATTCCAGGATTGATTGATTACCCATGACTGCATCATTATAGACATTGCAGCAATTGGTAATTCATTTTTTGTTGTTAATTTTTCCTTGTCATTATCCTTCTTGAGTCTCATCGAGTACGATATCAAATGTATTGATTTTTGTATCAAAACACAATAGAGAGCTGTGATATATGCATATATGGAATATTCTTTTTAGTGACATGGAGATGGTGATGTCTTGTAAGGGTTAGGAGTTAATGTTACATTTGGTCTTGTTGAGACAAGCATTACCGTCTTGTACAACGCACAAGCACGAAGATAGACAAATCGGCTAAGTTTGTTTCTCGGTCTCTCTATGCTTGGCCTCAAGATAATGTATTAGGCTGTGACCTTAGTCCAGTTTTGGCATCCCTTGTATAGGTTAAAACTTAAAAGCATAGCCTCCAAGTGGATTTAAAATGCAACTGAATCTATAGTTTTGTTTGCGAAATTCTGACCATTTTGAATATCTTTCAGTTAAAGCTTTTAATGGTCAGCAATAAAGTAGGTCTCTTCTCACAAAGATCTCTCTGACAAGAAGAAATGAGACCAAGATTGTTTACAATTTTAAGCCAAAAGTAGTAAACACTGAATACAATTTATGCAACAGGACCATCGCCACCAAAGTCATCGTCATCATCTTTGATCTTCACATCAGCGTCTTCTCCAAACTGAATACAAACGTCGATTTGGGACAGAACATATTGAATGCTGCCCAGAGAAAGCAATGTTGATGTTAATTTCATATTTTAATAAACCGATAAAGTTAGAAGAATGAATTGAGAGGAGATAGTTTACCTCTTTTCTTTCCTCAAGTTAAGGGGTATGAAGTTCACCATCCCATACTCTCCCACCTAATAACCACAACCCAAAAATCCAATCATGAAATCGAATTACTTGATTTTATAGTCAACATTAACAGCAAGAACCCAGTACAATCATATATGCTACCATCTCAATCAAGGCTTTGTTCAGTTTTGCATATTGAGGACCCATCCTTTTGTTCAACTCTGCCAGCAATGTTCGAGGCTCCGGATTCAAGTAGCTGAAGTCATGAAAAACCCAAAGCAAATTACTATTATCGAAACTGCAACAAAGAACAGTAAAGGAAAGAATAGGAACCCATACTCATCAATGTTGCTTTTATCCTGCAAGAGGTCCATCTTTGAGAGGATGTTTACATGTGGCAACTCAAGCTGGATCATTGCCGCGAGAGATGACATGCAACCGCTGATAAACTTGGTTACATCTGTTATGAACTGATTCAACAAAATTCATCTTTAGTCAGGCAAAAAGGTTCACTACAATAAGAGCAAATAGTGGAGGGGAAATAGAACTTATACAAAACCTGTGAATCAAGCAGATAAACAACACAGACGTTGAAGTTCTTCTGTTTCAGATGCTCCACAAAGTTTTTGAGCACAGGAACATGTGTAAACAGCTCTATCTGGCCTATTAACAGAATAGAGTTCACAAAATTCAGAGATGGAAATACAGTTCGGATGCTTAGTATTCAACTTCTATCCAGTATTGGTATGCCAATCCTAATCAGCTTTATAGAAACCGCACACTATACCAAACACATGTTTTAACATATATCAGAGACAAATCATTGATTCATGTATGCACCTGGACAATCAAATATAAGGTAATCGTCGTCCCTGTAGTTCTCCAGTTCTTCATCCACCCAATCATGTAAGCTATCCTCAAGGTATCTATTGAATAAAAGTTAAGGTTCTTCCATTGAGAGAATAAAATACCAAACTGATTCTTTGTTTTCAGATTTTAAACACTCTTGTGCAAAGCTAATGAAAATATCAAGTTGCCAATGTAAGAAAAAGGATACTCCATGCAATACATCAGACCACCATTAGGACCAAGCTTTAGGTCATCCATAACATCTTCCAAGAATAAGTTCTCTGATATCTGCACTCAACAAAATCAAGAAAGTGAGAAGCCACTCAAAAACTCTCCAAAGCAAGGAAATTGAACAAGGGGAAACTTCACTCACCCATAGCCACAGGATAGTTGAAGATTTCCGCAGCAGGATCAAGGTTAACAACATTCATCGTTCGACCAATAGTTTCACAATGTTCATACAAAGACGAGCAATAAGTTGACTGAAAGATCCATAAAAACAATACAATTAGTCAAATCTAAGCCATGAAACTAGTTTACAGAAGTAACTTGACATCATAGACCATAATAGAACCTTTCCACTGCCTGCTGGACCAATAACAAGCTGAGCGTAACCCATTGTAGCAAGCAAGCAAACCTCTCCACAAAAGCTCTTAAATTGAACACACAGAGTGAAAAATTCTAAAAGAGGCAAAGATTGCAACAGCTATATAAGCAATACACCAGACACCTAAACCAAACAACACTCTCAAAACGTCGCAGGAACCCATAAACCAGAAGCAAGAAGCAATAGACACATTTCAGTACCTGAAACCAAAAAGATCGAAACTTTAACATCATTTACACGATTTTAGTCAGGGTTTTGAAAAACCCACAAAACCCAAGATAAATTTGATGAAACTAACAATGAAATAGATAAAAAGACTAAATTTTGAAGAGAGATTGAAGAGAACTAAAAGCAGCCGATGAATGATTTGCAAGGTTGAAACGAAACCCAGAAAGGTTCAAAGATTTGATTGACTTCACCTTTTGACGCTTCTGAGTTCTCTCAAAACCTAAACCACAAGCAAAAGAAGAAGAAGAAGAGAAGTTTCAAGACCTTCACTTTTTTATTTTTTGTTTGTTGCGTTTTAAAGACCTTTCTTTTAGGGTTCTTAATGATTTTTTCTCACTGTTTAAAGAAATATATTAATTTGACTTAAAAATAAAATTATGGTGTTCAACTATTAATATATTATCAAATAGGACTTATTTATTTATTTTCTTCAATTCTTTGAAATAGTAAAATTGATTTGAGTATATTTGACCACACAAAAAGAAAGCAAAGTCTCCACAACGTGTCTCACGTGGATACAAAATTAAATAAATATCTACTTTACTTATTCTTTTTTTCCACTAAATGCATACTACAATTATATAATTTTGATTAAGGAAATATATTTTTCTCTGTATTTGTGATATTTTAGAAAAATGAACTCGATAACGTTTGAAACAAATAGCCAAGGATAACTAAATATGCGTCTGTGAAGCTTTTAAATCAAAAATCACATTATAAGTAACTTGAGCAAAAAAAGAAAAGGAAATAAAGATCCAAATGTAGTCAAATGAAAATTGAATGTTCTTCAAGGACTTGAACAAATGCTATGCTATTGCGCTTCTTAAGCCACAAGTGTGCTTGCGGTAGTAGACTCGCTGCAAAAAGCAAGAACAAGAAGAGGTAAAGGATCAATATTCAAAGAGTCGATATGATCATCGAATCATCGAGATCTTTGAAGTATACTTACTACTTCCATACGGGAGGGAGCTTCTTGGTCTTCTTGTAATAACGAGCAAGACGGTGGATTCTGCTCTCTACAAGAATCAGTCTAAACTTTGAATCCTTGTCTTTCCTGTTCCTTTCAAGATGCTTGCGGATAGCAACGGCTTTCTTGATGAGGTGGTATAGATCCTCGGGAATCTCAGGAGCAAGACCTTAAATCGTAAGTTACAAGAATCATAAGTTTGTTTGGATGTTTTAGTCTATAGTAAAGAAGAATCTAAACAGAATGATAATGCGAAAAAGTTACCATGAGCTTTCAGGATTCTAAGAATCTTGCTTCCGGTAACACTTTTCACTTGTGGGATTCCATGAGAGTCACGAAGAATGACACCGATCTGAGATGGTGTCAATCCTTTCTTTGCAAACTTACAAATGGAGTCATCAACCTATATGGTTCCATCAACACAAAACATCAAATCAGACTAAAACACATTACTCTCAAAGCCGCATCAAGTAACCTCCAATCAAGAGAGACCAGCACAAACATAAACAGATGAAATCGATTCATCAACACAAACATCAAACAATCAAACCAAACACATTACTCTCAAAGCCATATCAAGCCTACATGGTTCCATCAACACAAACAAATACATTACTCTTAAAGCCGCATCAAGCAACCTTCAATCAAGAGAGACCAGCACACACATTAACAGATTAATCGATCAATCAAACTAGATACGTTACTCTCAAAGCCATATCAAGCCTACATGGTTCAATCAACACAGACAAACACATTACTCTTAAAGCCGGATCAAGTAACCTCAGATAGAGAAAGACCAACACACACATTAACAGATCAAATCAATCAATAAACACAAACATCATTATCAATCAGACTAAACATGTTACTCTCAAAGCCATATCAAGTAACATCACAGGGGAAGAGACAAGCAAACACATAACAATCACTGACAAAGAGACTATCACAACAAATTAATCAAATCAAGATTTACACAATACTTGTTCTACATCGATTAAAACCTCACAATACTAAGAGCTACTCCAAAATTACAATACTAAATGAAAATGATTCTCCTAAACCTATGCTCGATGCTGAATCACATTGCCAAACAAATCAAAATCATTTCTTTACTTACATCTTGAGATGTTATCTTGACCCAAGCCGGTGGTGTACGCTTATACGGCAAAGCAGACGCTGAGATTCCCTTACTACACAGCACAAAAAAACAGATACGAAGAGTTAAAAGAAGAGAACTTAATCGTAATACAAAATCAGATACGAAGAAGAAGAAGAAGAAGAAGAAGAAGAAGAAGCGAACCCTCCACTGTGCATACGACCCATGGCGGCGACGGTGAACGGAGCTTTACTTCTCTGAGATCCTTCTTCCTCCGGCTAAGACTGCGATTGACAAAATTCAAAACCCTACTTTGCTTTTTCTATGTATCGTACGTTTTAGTTACAAAAACCCTTATGGGCCTTTTTTATAGGCCCATTATAAAAGCCTGTAATAAACGGAGGTATCAAATGACGTCGTTTTAGGGAATTGTCAATGTTGTTCTTGCTCCAAGATCTAATTGTTTTTACTAGGTGACATATTTTTACATTTAACAACAGTAGCTTTTACAGTCCAATCCAGATTTTACTAATTATATGTTTGATTTAAATTTATATTATTTTCAATATTTTTCTCTATACCAATAATTGTTTATATCCATTTTACCATAGAATTCGATCTATAAACCTTCTCACGGACATTAGAAAAAAAAAGAAAATCGTTTAGTAGTCCGGATTCATGTTCTATATCACAGAACAAAAGGAAAACAAATTAAAAATTATATTCGGTTTGGTGTGATGTTCAAACTAGTTCTTAGACCACCTCAGCTAGGATTTGCTAATGGGGATACTAACTGTTTTTATGGGCTAAAAATTAAACCAAAAATTTCAAAAACTGGACCATTAAGTAGAGAATTGTTTCTTCGATAGATAACACAAGCAACGATTAAGATACGTGACGTGTCATATAATTAAAATTATATAATTATTTTAATTATAAGCAATTTTAAGAGTTTCTCTAGTGTAGTTGGTCTTATAAGTGATGGAATCTCTAATCACCTTTACCAAACAAGTTCTTTAAATTATTTAATTAAAATATGGTGATTTAAAAAATCATGTTATTATGTATAATCCAATAACTCGTAATTAAATACTTTGGTAATGACATATATTTTTCACAAATAATTACAGAAATAATAAATTTAAAAGAAAATATTGGGGCCAAAGTGGATAAGATAACATCCAATGAGAATCAGATACATCAACCACATAGATCCTTAAGAGCCACAACAATCTCAAGAACCAGATACTCTGTCCTGCCACATCAGCAAATGCAATCTCAAGTTTCTTTAGATTTGCTTATTTCTTCATCACACACATCTCAAACTCTGGTTTTTTTTATTTTTAATCTCATAAGAGACACAAACAACAACAACAACTAAGACACCAAACCAATGGCTGCGAGTGCATCTCCAATGGCAAGCCAGCTAAGGAGCAGCTTCTCCTCCACTTCTCTATCTAAACGCCTCGCCGTTCCAAAGGGTATCTCCGGTGCTCCTTTTGGTGTTTCTCCGACCAAAAGAGTCTCTCCCTTCACCGTCCGTGCTGTTAAATCCGACAAGGTATCTTTGTTCTGTCTTTACACGTGACATAACAATATACATAGATTGGCCATGTTCTAGTTTATGTTTTGGTATTAGACTATAGAACCTCTTCCATGGAACTTAGGAGTTACAAGTGTGACAAATATTGGTTATAAACATATGCAATTGTGATTATATGTATAGTGGTCTAACAATAAATATGGAAATTGGCAGCCAACATTTCAAGTGATTCAACCAATCAATGGTGATCCATTCATTGGAAGCTTGGAAACTCCTGTGACATCTAGTCCTTTGATCGCGTGGTACCTTTCCAACCTCCCTGGCTACCGTACTGCTGTCAACCCGCTCCTTCGCGGTGTCGAAGTAGGTCTAGCTCATGGTTTCTTCTTAGTCGGCCCATTCGTCAAGGCTGGTCCATTAAGGAACACAGTTTACGCTGGCCAGGCCGGTTCTTTAGCCGCGGCTGGCCTTGTCATCATCCTTAGCATGTGCTTAACCATCTACGGAATCTCTTCTTTCAAGGAAGGTGAGCCATCGATTGCGCCGAGTTTGACTTTGACCGGGCGGAAGAAGCAGCCTGATCAGCTTCAAACGGCTGAGGGATGGGGTAAGTTCACAGGAGGGTTCTTCTTTGGAGGGATCTCTGGTGTGACTTGGGCTTACTTCCTTCTCTACGTTCTTGACCTTCCTTACTTCGTCAAGTAAATGTAGATCCATATGAGTGTACTCTTCAACTCTCTTGCATCATTGTTTTTTTACTCTTGTCTTGATCAAGAACCTTGAAACTCAGGATTGTTAATGTATATTACTCTTTCTTGATCATCTTATTGACATTAATTTATATTTTCCTTAGCCTTGAAAATGCTCTAAGATAAATCGGATGAGAACTGAAATTAAAAAACCAAGTTTTCATTAATAGATAATGAAGTAGTACACTTATTATTTCTACTAGCAACACTCTTGTTCCACAATATGAAAGAAACTAATCAACCCTTACAAAAATAAAAGACTTGATAAGTCTTAAAGCAACCATTTTAAACCAAAAGTGGGCAAAAACCAACGAGCATCCTTGAAAAGTATTGTCGAGAAAGCAGTAAGATGTTCAAACACTTGGAAGACGAAACCGGTTCGAACATGGTAGATGCGAATACGGTTATAGTTATAATCATCGCATAGACTAATCCCATTGTTTCTATCAAACTGATCGTTACCAAAATATATGCAATTTTTCATAACTTTGGCCGCAACCGTTAGTCCTAGATCGAAAAGCAATGTTTCTCCCTCTAGAGACTTGATTCTTCTCCATTCTGACGATTTCGGATCTATCTTGTAGACTGCCGTCCTAAGATATTGTCTCTGATCTAGCTCTACAATAATAATCAAAACTTCTCCGGACAAAGTCACAGCGAGCTTGTAATGACCCTTTCCAATTAGGTAGGGATAATCATCATACCGATTAAATGGAAAAGTTGCACATTCCACCGGAGAATCATTACCGGAGAAATCAAGAACAGTAACATCTCGAGTTACACTACTAAGCAAGTAAAGCTTGCTCTCTTTAAACACCATATCAATTATACAGCCTTGATTCTTTAAAGGTTCAAACCTTTTCCAGCTATTGTCTCCTTTCTTATGATATGCAAAATTGCTAGCAATATTCCAAACAACCAAGTAATCTTTCCTTTCTTCATCTACCCACAAAACCGCATTTTCGACATCGCTGCCATCGGTTAATTCTAGAGCCGGAAGAGTGATCCTCACACGAGTAAACATATTCAAAAGATGAAACTTAGTACTAGACTCTAGCATAAGGAACCAGCTACCAGAACTAGCCAAACAACGACTCCTAGATAGATCAAACCCGAGACAACCTCTTACTATGTAAGTCTTGTTTTCATGAGGATCATACAACTTACATGAAATGTTGTAGTTGTTTTCAACATGTTGGCTTGGAAAGAAGATGAGCCATGGAGTTGTTGGATTGGTTACTCTAATGAATGATGACTCCGAAGTTGTGTACCATACTGAAGAAATGCATCTTGCTCGATGAAAATCAACAAAACTCAAACGCTCCAAGATCGATCTAACTAGGTCAGGGATAAGTATCGGCTGGTTTGAATCATCCTTCTGATTCTGATGTGTGAATTGTGATAGCCAAGTTACATAAGACCATCTCCATCGGGAGGAGTCTCTAGGTCTAGGTGACAGAGTCTCCATTAAAACCCTAGTTAACATAAATGACGCTTTCTTTTAGACTATATTGTATTCATAATCATCAACATGATTTGTTATCTAATGAATTTTCTAGTTACATTTTGACGGGCCGGGTAATAAAATTATTTTGATTTATTGATATTTGCTTATTTATTTTATATTTTTCTTGTAAATTCTCTAAATTGAGTTTAAGATGTAATTAAATAATAAAAAATTAGAATCTGATCCGCGCTACAGCACAGAAGAATATTCTACCGAAATATTATATAATTTTTAACAAAAATAAAAATATACATAAATATCATAAATGATTACATTTATAAAATCTGCATATTTATAGTGTATGTTTTGACGGATCAATGTACAAAAAAGTCCATTCATAAAAAACAATATACATTCGCACTCACGTGAATATTTTGAAGGACCAACCCGTGAAAGATTACATTCGTAGAAAAATATACATTTGTAAAAAAGATACTTTGAAGGGATTAACCTGTGAAAGATTTCTTTCATAATAAAACCAAGATGCATTTGTAATACAAAAATATTAATTCACAGTGTATATTTTGAAGGACCAACCCGTAAAAGATTGCATTAGTAAAAATATCAATCCTAACCCGCTATACCATATGATTATATGATTGTGAGTTTCGCAAAACAACCAGTGTATTATTAAATCTTATAAATTTATGTATGTTAGTCCTAAGTATAATAATCTGTTGAAAACTTCAAATTGCAACATATGCAAAAAAGGTTAAATTTATATTATATAGTATAATATAAGAAATTAAAAATAAATTCAAATAAAGGTGAAAGAGGAATAATAATTGTTTTAATATATTAGTTTGAGAAAATTTAGGAAATCCGAAATTAGATATGAAAATAATATAATCTGTAAGTAAAGTATCCGATTTAAATATCCAAACCCAATTAAATATCCGATTTGGAAGTATCTAATTATTTAATTTCAAGTTAATTTTTAATTTTGACCTCACCCGTATTATCTTTTGTACTTCTCTTTTTTTGAATAATCAAAGAGGTTCTGGGCCAAAGCTCATACATCCCCTCAAGCCCAAAATGAGAGCATGTTATATGGTTTCGTCCCAAGCGCTACTCGAATATGCGCAGAGCCGGCCTTAAGCACAGGCTGGTGAAGCACGTGATTGTGGCCCCAAAAATATATGTATTTTATCGGCCCTTTTATTTCGTAAAAGACTTATTAGTGTAGTGGTAAAATTATTCATAAATGCATTAGAATTCTAGTGTTCGGCTCTTTTCTCCATCATTTTATCTTTCCTTTTTTAATCCACTACAAAATCAGTCTCAACATGGTTTTGGGCTTGTGACCCTGATATATTGTGCGACGGCTCTGAACATGCGACCTCTAAGCTTTAACCAGAGATCTTTACCAATTGAGCTATAAGCACTTGATACTTCTCTTTTACTAATTTAGAGGTTCTCTGATTATAATTGGGAGATAGCTAGAAAGAGACTTTTTTTTGTTATTTATGTATTGGCATTAGTTATCTTGAAATTGGATTGTGTCATGCATTTGGTTGATAATTATCGGTGAATGAAAATTTATAGTCTTATCATTTAAAGACACTAAAATACTCATAACTAAGGGATAACCCGTGCTACCCAAATTAAACTGAATGAAAAGTTTAATTTGCTCAAACAAATACCCAAATTAAACTGAATAAAACTTTAAATTTCGGACGCTTAAAAATTCAGTTTCCTACTCATTCGTATAGTTAGAAACATATTAGTATAATTTATAGTGTATAGATAAGAGGAAAATACACTATAAACTTAACCAAATAATATAATGTAATGTATAAACAAAATTGTCATACGATTGTAATAAAATAGAGTATTTGAAAACTTTGGAAAGCACAATACAAAATATATTTTTATTAATTAGAAAACGAGGTACAAAAACAAGATGATGTAGAACAGAACATGTAAAATTTCATAAAAGACAACATAAATTTTTGAACAGGCATCAATGATTAATTTTTTCTTGGAAAATAAACTCTACTAGGTGAAGTGATCTTCTAATCGAGTGACAAATGATAAGTCCACTGAAAGCATGCTTTATCACACTAGAAATCGAGTCTCTCGCTTCATATGAATATAGGGAGTTGGCTAATGGACCGGTATTTTATGGTTTGATGTTGACCAAAAAAAAGAAACTCTACTAGTTTTGGGTTTGTTTTCACAATCTAAATTCTTAGATTATCTAAATTCATAATCCGGTTAACATAAACCAATAACTAGCTTTGGCATATATATTCTTCTTTTTGTTTATTTACTTTAAAAATTATTTTATTATTTACAATCAATGCTTGAATTAGATTTTTCAAAACTTTCAAAACGCTTCCAGTATTCAATTTCTATATAAATAGAATCGTATATAATTATATATAAAATATAATATTTACAATTAATATAAATGGCATTTTCTTAAACTCTTTTTTGAGAAATTTACACATTTTTATTAACAATTATGTTACACAGATATGAAATACACAAAAGTTAAAGAAGAAGACAAAAGACACTATCTGTTACAAAAAAAAAAACAATTAAAAAAATAAACATAGTTGTCTATTGCAAAACACTACTCTCTATTTATAGCTTCACTATCCTTTGAACATTTCATAATCAAAATCTCAAACACTATCAATATAAGTCAAGACATGAAGTTCATTACATTAGTCTTCATCGCCTTTGCTCTGTCGTCTCTTGCTCTAACCAAAACAATGGTTTCAGCAGAAATAGTGAAAGCAACATGTGCTGTGGAAGATCTTCAAGTATGCAAATCAGCAGTGACTACTGAAAGCCCACCATCGATGGAATGTTGTGCAAAGCTGAAAGAAGAACAGTCATGTATATGTGATTACTTGAAAGATCCATCAGTTAGTCAGTATATTACAGCTGCTAAAAGAGTTTTAGCAGCTTGTGATATACCTTTGCCTAGTTGTTGAACTTTAAAATATTGATCACATAATCTATGATTATATATGATATTGGAAGTTTATTATGTCAAGGTTATTGACTTGATTAAATAAAATGTTAGTTTTCTTATATATATATCATTATTGTCGATTCTCAAAATTCAATAACTACTTGTCTTTTACTCTTTAGTAAAGTATGATTTAAGTATGTAATTTCTTTGGATCGGGGTTTCTTAACCTTAGTCCACTAGAAAGATAAAGTCTCATCATTTAAAGTCGCTGACTTGACTGGTTCAAAAGCAATGGTTGCGATTGTAGTTGGAGATTATGTAGAAGCAGGCGACTACGTTTTTAGCGTTATTAAGCATTTTGAATGACTAGTTTAACGTTTGAAAGACATAAAACTGATAATTTCAACTTTTGAAATTGAAAATTATCAACTTTATACCTTAATTATTTGTATTCTTCTCTTTCATTCCTCGCACAACCACAACCTTGTTTATTTTGTCGACCAAAACCTTCGCTTCCTCTCCCAACCACGACCCTCACTATCCCGGCCATAACCCTTTCTTCTCACTATCATGATCCATCAACAATATTGTCTCAATCAATTTCAACAACTCTTTCCCCTCTGAAAATTTTTGTAAGTAAAAAATAAATTTCTCAATTATGTAAACATGGACATCAGTCCAAAATCCATTAAAAGCTTGGAAAATTTACATTTTTTTCGTAATTGATTCATATCATTTTTTTGTGACTAGGTAGATACCACTTTACTAGATTTTGAGTTTTTATATTAGGCATCATAACCAATGATTAAAACTATGCCCAATATAGGCAAATAATGTTGTTCATCACTGGTGTAACTGTGATTTGTAAGGCTACTAATAACTCTAACAAAAAAAAAAAAAACAACTTTTTAGTATTTGACTCTAATTAAGTGATAAGCAGTTAAAAAACGCAGCGTTTTGGTGACATATCTTTGATTCCTCCGTCACGGCAACCACATACATAAACAAGCCTTATCTCCTCTGCCGCCGAAGCAAACCGTTTAAACCACCAGTTTTGTATTCTCTCTCTGTGTCTCTCTCTCTCTCTCTCTCTCTCTCTCTCTCTCTCTCTCTTATTCTCATATCCGTAAGATAAAAAAAAAAAAAAAAACAATGGCTGTTCATATTCAAAACCCTAACTTTTTCTACACTCATCATCTCCGATCACGTCTAACCTCATCCTCTGCATCACCTTCCTCTTATCTCTTTTCAAGACACTCTGCTTCAAAATACCATCACAACAGCTTCATTTGCAAATCCAATGACAAAGATGTAACCTTTATTAACTCCCTCTTACACAATAAAGAGCTATAGAACTGAAATGGTTCTTTTTCTTACAGGACTATCTCATTGATGCTCCTGTTTCTGTTGGAGATGGTTTCTCTTTCAGTGGAGGGAAGTATTCAGATCAACCAAGTCCATCAGATGAATGGCTTAAGCAAGGGAAATGGGTATGAAACAGATTCATATCTACTTTGGTTTTATAATAATACATAAAGTTTTGATTCTGCAAATTTTCAGGTTAAAGCTCATAGAGTTGGTGGATCTGGTGTAGAAGCAAAAGATCCGATTTTTGGATTAACAATGGGAGCTAGCTCTCAAGCTTCAAAAGATCTTTTCAGGTAAAAACACACTTTTGAGTTTAATCTTTGTAGTAATGTGTTTTTGATGATTCTGTTTCTATAGATGGTTTTGTGTAGAATCAGGAAGTGTTGATAGTCCTCCTGTTATACTAATCCATGGATTCCCATCTCAGGTAATATATATATATGTTCCCTTCAAATACATCTTTGTTACCGCGAATCACTTAGCAGGTTTTGGAGGATGTTTATTTTGTGTCACTAGGCTTATTCGTACCGGAAAACTCTTCCCGTGCTTTCGAAGAATTACCGCGCCATTGCTTTCGATTGGCTAGGTATGTAACTTCTTACCCTTGTGTTTTACTTTTTTCTTTGTTAGAGAACCTGAATTTTCTTGCATCATAGGATTTGGATTTTCTGATAAGCCTCAGTCTGGATATGGATTTAACTATACAATGGACGGTAAGATGATCTTTAACCGCGCTTATCGATCAACAGACTAAAACCCGAGAGAGTTATAAGAATAATCTGTGGCTTTGTAGAGTTTGTTTCGTCGCTTGAGTCATTCATTGATGAGGTAACTACAAGTAAGGTGTCACTTGTGGTGCAGGTAGGTATAGTAGCATCAATTTATTTGTCTCTGAAGAAGCAATACTTTAGATTTGGTAGTGTTAATTCTCTGTTTTGATGTTTTTTTTTTTTGTCAGGGATACTTCTCAACTGCTGTTGTAAAATATGCTAGAAACAGACCAGACAAGATCAAGAATCTCATACTCTTGAATCCTCCTGTAAGTAAAGAAGCTAAAACAAAACTAACTATTTTCTTCTCTTTGTTAAAACTAACTTAAAAACTTGTATAATCCGGTTTCAGCTCACACCTGAACATGCTAAACTTCCATCAACCTTGTCTGTATTCAGCAACTTTTTGCTCGGGGAGATCTTCTCTCAGGTTTGTTTCATCAAAAATTTGCTTCTACAAAGGTTCTGTGCAACAAATTTCTGATTTAGTAAACCAATAGGATCCTCTAAGAGCAAGTGACAAGCCTTTGACGAGTTGTGGTCCTTACAAAATGAAAGAAGACGATGCAATGGTTTACCGAAGACCTTATCTTACCTCAGGTTCTTCTGGTTTCGCTCTTAACGCCATCAGTAGGTCCATGAAGAAGGAACTTAAGGTTCATAAAGCATTCTCTTTTCTTCATTCATGTCAAAATCAAGAAAGCTTGGAATTTTTCATTGAAGCTTTTACCTGACAGAAATATGCAGAAGAGATGAGGACATCACTGATGGACAAAAGCTGGAAAATCCCGATCACCGTGTGCTGGGGAAAACGAGACAGGTGGCTAAGCTATGAGGGAGTTGAAGAGTTCTGCAAGAGTTCAGGACACAACCTCGTCGAACTGCCAAATGTACCACCTATTTCCTTATATCTTGTGAGACATTGCTAAACTTTGAACTGATTCTGCCCTTATCAGGCTGGCCATCACGTACAAGAAGATTGTGGAGAGGAACTTGGAGGAATAATCTCAAGAATCATAAGTAAATCTGCTCTATTCTAACTAGAGAGTACTCAGCACGAAGACTGAGAAAATGAAAAGAGTCATGAACAAACCCTTTGTAAAGACTCATCTTTATTCAAAACCTTCTGTAGTTCCATTGGTACATATAAGTCACCAGTAAGATTTTTGTGCTAAACTTTGAGGCTCTATAAAGTTGGATATAGAAGAATCGTCAAGAATCTCCGGTTCTCTAGTACAAATTTGTAACATCCTATAAAGAATCTACATGTATACCTTCAGTAATTGGTTAAATTCAGTACATCATTGACATGAAGATCCTCAGAACTGTTATCTCACCAGTCTTGTAATCATCTCTCCTTCTCTTTTGCTTCCTTCGGGTCTTCAGGGTATATATGTGATTTTTGTATGTATATAAATGTGTCTACAGCAAGCTATATATCAAAGTTGGAACCGGTCTATCCAGCACTCATCGTTCTTCACAGCATTTCTCCATCTGTGTTTAAAAGTCTCTAATTCAGCGTAAGTCTGCTTCCGAACCTAGGTAATGATCATTATGTACATAGAGAGTTTAGTCATACAAAGTACTCTAAAGACATTAAGATTAGAAAGCTGATACTATCTTTTCAAATACCAAACTGTTTATACGCTTACCTCAGATCTACCAGAGGATGTTGGTGATGGTTTCTGCATAATAACAGTAGTATAAGACAATGATGGACTATCTTAAAAGAGTAGAAAGAAGAGAGCAAAATATAGTGAGAATAGCATACTGATATGTCTGAATCATGCTGAGTCTTGGTCTTTTCGAGTTGGTCTGAACCCGTCTGCTTATATGCAGTAAGTATGATTACTTCCTAAATAAAAGTCATGGAGACTGGGATGAAGAAATGATAAGAGAACAAGATTTCAAACCTTGTTTTCAGCTGAACCTCCTAATGTAGGAAGACCCATATGAAGTATATACTCGGAATCAACAATGCCGATATTTCTGGTTCGATCACCCTATTCGAAGCAACAAGACAATACTGAGAAAAAACAAAACCAACTAATAAAAGGGTGAGTTGGTTTGGCTCAGTAGCAATTTACCTGTGCACAATATCCAAGCTGAAAATCTATACCCCATCCATGGTTTAAGTCATTCTGTAAAAGAATCAAAACATTCATAAAACAAAGTCAAGTATCTAGCTGTTGATGGTCTTCATTTAGTCTGTGACATAAATAATAAACTTGTGCAATACCTGAATCATATGCCATGTACACCTCCAGGCTGCTCTGGAAAACACAGGAGCCATCATTTCGACGAATCTGTAGTTAGAGAGTTTCCTAAGTGAGTTTTCAGAATAATCACCATAATATACACTAGCTAGTATACACTAAAATGGTTTAGTTCTTTTACCCTGTACAAGGAGGTCCAGTGCTATTCTCGTTGCACCTAGTCCGACCAATGACTTTGTATGTTCTCCTGGTTACCACCAAATCATTGCAATAAGATTCATTATGTCATTCTCTCTTAAACGTTTTCTATTAAAAGCATGAGAGAAAGTACCTATGTACTCGCGATTTCTTGTCCCGGGAGGTAAGTTGATGATGCACTTCAGAGAAATTGGGATCAAGAGCAGGCTGTGATATTTCAAGACCTTCTTCTTTAATAATTGAAACATACCTGACAATTTGCATTTGCATTAGATATCACAAATATAAGATATTCTTTGTAATAGCATTTTTTTTTACCTTCTAGCATCAAAATGGTCAACACCAAGATCTTCATCCCATAGAAATATGTAAGAATATGTTGAGACAATATCAGGGTGTAGAAAACGCTTTGCAAACCACCTAAAAGAGTTAATAAAACATATTTTAAACAGTACAAGCCCAAATGGTATTAAACATGAATAGAACAGTTATATAACCATTTGGTTTGGTTGACTACAGAAACATGAATAGCAGTTTCACTCCACTCAAACTCCTTCCACTCATCCACCGCGCCATCATAATGAAACAGCATCACAACAAACTCACTTGACAGAAACTGCCACATGGGAAGAGATATCAAAGATCAAAACTGTTTCATTACCGAGAGGCGGAAAAGGCGTTTTTTCCGAGGTTTTACCTTCTTGACAATCTTGTTAACACTTTCCTTCTGTTTTATTCCGGCTGCCATAGCTAATAAGTTCAGCTTCGGCTTCTAAGCAAATAAGAAAACAGAGAATGTATTGATAAGTAATGACTACAGAGAAACTCGGGAACCCCGGGTTTGGCGACTGGTAAATACCGTATTGCGCTTTCCTCCCCATAACGGTCGCATTTCCAAATCTGAGGTACTTGCTACAATTCCTCTTGGTAATGTCTCACTACCAAAAGGCCTGAGTTGTGTCTAATTAACCAAAGCAACATGAAAAAATGTCATTATTCAGATAAGAACTTGGTTTTAAAAGCATAGAAGAAACTCTAATCAAGCTTATGGAACAGACCTTACACATCTGCAGTTTTGCAAGATTTAGTCTAATTATTGAACTCCACCCAGCAATACCCTGTGAAATCATTAAACTTTTCAAACTGTTCTATCATAATTCAGATTCAAAGACAAATGATTAGAAGTAGTACCTCTTTATAGTCTACTGTAATAAATGCATTCCCTAATAAGAAGACCATTGCAAGAAAAAACACTAAAGAGAACAAGCGACGAAGAGACAAGCCCTTTCGTTTGTGGTTCATACTTAATGATCCCTGCCACAATAAGAAGATTCAAAAAAAAAAACAATGCCACAAGAAAGATTCAAGATTGTGTTTCAACCCATAAAAAAAGTATAAAACTTGTAACTGTCTGAATACAGACATTGCAGAACTGCAGATGTGAGAATCAGACAATCCAAGAATGAAACACATAAAGGGGAAACAAAAGATTTGAAATTTCACAACTTTCTCGAAAACCCTTGAAACCCAGAAGCAAAGCAAAGTAAGGTAATGGAACAAGACAAGAAGAAATGAACAAAGAGCAAAGAGAAAGAAAGCTTACGGAGCTCAAAATCTTGGGTTTCTTGTTCATCTTTCAAGAACAGTGGTCTATAAATTAAAGGTAACGCCTTTTTTTTTTTTTTTTAATAGATCAAATAAATAAGTGAAGTGTTGAGTCATATACTATATAGTGTTATAATACCATATTTTTTTGTCAGAAAAATTAATTTGCTTTCCGTCAAGTTTGGTTATTTTGCAATCAAAAGTACCACTTTTTTATTCCTTAAAGTTAGCTTCGAATAGAAAAAGAAAAAATAAACTGGGTATGAAAGCAAATTAATTGAGATTTTTTTTAGAGAAGTGCCTTTTTTGGTGTAACATTTTTTAAAAATATTTCTTTTATTTATCAATTTTTTTTAGAAAAAAATTTTAAATTTGAAAAGTTTTAAAGTTTTATGTGGTTTATAAGATATTTTTAGAAAATCACTATACTATTTGGAGACTCGGATCGATATACTTATAAGGTTTAAAAATGTATTAAACAGGGTTTACAAGGTTTTTAAAAGGTTTATAAGATTTTTACAAGTTTTTTAAAAGCTATTTATACGGTATTTGTAAAATAGATATATTATTTACACACATATAAATGTAACTTGTGTACATTTATATAAGTTTACACATATTTTTGGATAAAATTTCAATTTTTAGTGGTTTTTTTGATGTAATTTTGAAAAGGTTGTTTTTGAAAAGTGGTATTTTGAAATCCCTAAAGCAAATTATCAATTATCAATAAGTCTAATTAAAACAAAAATTATAGTGGAAGCCTTTAGGCTCAATGGTTGACTAAAAGTTAACTAATAATTAATATTTATATATCTCGAGGTTTGGAGTTCGGATATTTACAAGAGATTAGTGATACACGATTAGAAGTGTTCACCATGATTATAAAATATCGAAGAAAAACAAAGTATCCAATATTCTAGCACAAAGAAGAAAGATAAAGATTTATCAATCGAAAATCTAATAAAATCGTCTTTGTAGTAAACCAGTTTTCATACTTTATAATAATTAAAATTAATATATAAAAACAACGAAACAAAAGTTTTTGTAATTCTTAAAAAAAGAAAATAAGAATTGTTAACAAAAATCTAGAAATAGGAATTTGGAAAAAACGTGTAGCCATCTTCGCAAAATCAGGTCTTTAAATCAGTGAACAATGACATTAAAAGGTCAGTAGCACGTGTATTGTTTTGTTATGTATTCCTTCGTTACATGTAAGTTTGTAACGTACATTGGGATGCAATGTCCATGTGAAGACGACTTGCTTTGGCCTTTGCTTCATTTTTCTTACACTTAAATTTTGGAAGTTGTAAAACAAATAATTTTTCTTTCATAAATAGTATTTTTTTCGGAAGTATTTTATTATTATAAATAATTATTTCTTGTTATTTATTTCTGAAATGTGTTTGATTATTTTTGTAGAGATCGATCTATTTTAGAATTTTGTATATTTAAAATAAAGAAACTAACGTAGCACGAAATCGTCGTTAACGACTTTGATTTAGTTTTAAAATCGGAAGCGAAAACAAAAGTGCAGAATTGCAAAGGAAGAAAAATATTAAGAAACACATATAGAAGCATTTATTACAAATTTTGTTTGTTCTAAAAATAATATTTATACACTGGTTGAATTAAATGACGGAACATGTTTGAATCGATATTACTAAAAAAATAAAATATTATTAATCTTATACTTCAAAACGGGTTAAAACTTCATTACACTATTTTTAACAACACTAAGACATGCAATCTTAATTTTTTTTTGCAATCTTAATTTTGATATTATGCGATCTTAATTTTTTTTTAAAAACAATTCCACCATCGTAGAAAAATTTGAATTAAAAAAAATGATAGGTTAAAATCTAGTTAACGATTAGATAAACGTTAGATACAAAGGGGTGCAAAGAAGAAACACAAACATTGAAAAAGAAAAATATATGAATCTCAATGGTATGATCAAATTCTTTAAATTGAACCATTACTCTTTATATTGGTGATATCAGTAGACACAAAAAATGGTTTGCTATTATATATAGATAGACAATATAATAAATTAAACATAAAAACTTAGATACCTTAAAATGAAAAACAACACTTGATAATTTAAATGATCACCAATACGATGTTACGTTGCATGTGTGTATCTAGAAAACTAACATGGTAATTCTATTATTTTGGCCTTTGATGGTTTACCTATACAAAA